CTTTTATTTTTTTAATATATAAAAAATATAGTTATTCTATAATATATTTAATATTTAATATTGATTTAATTTATTATATTAAAGCATGACAACTTAGTAAAGTGAACAAGTTGTTACCTTTTTAAGTGACAGATTGGATGTTTAAAATATACTAATAATAAAAATTTGAATTTCTATTTGTATATATATATATATATTTTTTTTGACAATCTTGTTAAGATTGTTCTTGCATTCTATATTTTTAAACTAATGTCCTTAATGTTTTCAGTTACTGAACTTTGACCTTCTTCAGTCTGTGCTTTTAAACTTTCTAAAAGCAATCTGTTATACCAACCCTTGCTAAGATCAGAAAACTTTGCCAAGCTCAGTTTAAAACCAGCTGTTGTTATAAGTTTATATAGTATCTTTCATTGTTAAACTTTTAATCTCATATTATGTTTTATGACATCAGTTATTTTGAATTATGCTCTAACTCATGTCCATTACTGTGTAGCTTCTTAACTGCAGGTCACTTGGCATTTCTAGAAATAAGTCTATCCTTGGATGTCTCAAATCTCTAGTTCTACAATATTGCAGTTCTCTATTTTTAAAAATATATTTCTAAAATTGCTGTTACTAGAATTTAAACTAGCAGCTTTGTAATTCATGACTTCAGAGCATAACTGCTATGTTATTAACCCTAGAGGTTATTTTTATTTGTATTATAACAAGTGTTTTTAATGATTAAATTATGATATCTGTAATAATAATTATACTACTATAACCAGCAAGTTATAGAATATTTGTGTAATAGATTATATAAAGGAATGCAAACTAGCATTAGGTAGTGCAAAACCAAAATAAATTCTTGTAATTGTATAAATTTAATAAAATTAAAAAACAAAAAGGCTATTTGAAAAACCTAAACAAAAAAATAATACAAATCTTTAACAATACTATTATAAAGGCTAAATATAAAAAATATATACTAATATAAGAAAGCTAAATAGACAAAACTCTAGGTTGAAGATATCACCAACTAAACTTTAGATTTTTAACTAAGAGAACTGAAAAAAAGATATTAAACTAATCTAATATACTAATAAACTAATTATAATTTTATATAAGCTATCTAAATTAGAAGTCTAAAACAAAAGCAGAGATATACTAAAATATTAGAGATATGCTATAAAGTAATACTAAGATTTAAATAGACTTTGCAAGAGTATAGTCTTGTTAAGATCTGTAAAATAAGTAAGAAATTTAACAGAAGAGCCTTTGTATCTTATTATTAAATAATGGGTATTATTATGGCCTAAGTACTAGTACAAAAAAAATGATGAAGTTAAACCTAAATAGTTCTTAATAAGAGACAGTAACAGAATTATCTAATTTTAAACTAAAATAGTTATAATTATACAGATATTGATTAAATAAGCTACAGAGTTTAAATAAGACACCTATAAGTAAGAGTTAGATATAACAAATAGTAAGTAACTATAGAATAAAACTCTTAAATAGATAATAACTAAAGTTATACATATAACTAGCTATTCTTTCACAAACTATATATGTACTTAGAATATTATTAACTAATAAAAATTACTAGTTTAACTAAGTAATTGATTGCTCATTTAAAAAAAATACTATATTTAGTATGTTTTATTAAATTAATCTATTTTTATTATAATAATTTGTATATTTAAAATATCTATTAAAAAAAGTTTACTTAAAGGTTTTTTACTAATTGATATACTTAACACCTTTGTTTGAATGTTTTATTTTAAACTTTTTAAATTTGCATTTTGTATTAATATTACTAGATCATGTTCAGATTATCATCTTAATCTTAAAACTATTTTATTCTTAAGATAAACCTCTCAAAGCCATTTGTACCTATTTTTATAACTAATTAAATATTACTATAGCAAACCAATACTTACAATTGAAGCTAGGCATTAAACTACTATGCTCTTATAAAGTTTATTTAAACTTTAGCATCAATTTTATAGCATATTTTTATTGCTTTAGTATACTTCTGCCTGTTCATCAGACTCTTAATTCAGATAGTTTAATAAGATTACAACTAGTTTATTAGTATATTAGATTAGTTTAATATTCTTTTTTTAAGTTTGTTTTGTTGACCTAATTACTAGTATTCTTTATTTAGAACTTCTTGTTTATTTAAGTATTTCAATATTAATATTTATTTTCTAGGTTTAATCTTTATAGTAATATTATCAAAGATTTATGCTACTTCTTTATTCAAGTCTTTTCAAATAGACTTCTTGTTTTCTAATTTTAACAGATTTATATAACTACAAAAACTTATTTAGAGTTTGCATTACTCAATACTAGTTTGCATTCCTTTATATAATATTATATTTATATAGATAATCTATAATCTTTTAATCATATTAATGTGACTGCTATTATAGATATTTTAATTTAATTATTAAAAAGGCTGTTATAATATAAGTATTATATAGGTAATTATTTAAATTTTTGCTATTGATGAGATTTGAACATATAACTATTATATAAAGATTAACAACTTATCTATTTCACTAAGTCACTATATTTCAAACCATTATTTTTTTCTTACTAAGAAAGTTAGTATCTTTATATATTTTAAATAAAAGAAAATAATACAATATTTAGTATCTTTATATATTATCCATTATTTTTTATTTTTTTATTTTTTTGGTATTAAGGTAACCTCTTTAGTTTTTTACTTTTATTAATAACTTTTTTGGTAATATGATTATATAATCTATTAAAAAGAGCATACAATTGGCTATATATATATAACTTTTTTATATTATCTATTTAAGAAGTTTACCTAAAGTTTTTTACTAATTGCTATATTTAACATGTTTGCTTGGGTGTTCTATTTTAAACCTTCTAAATTTGCAACTTGTATTAATTTTATTAGGTCATTTCAGATGCCTAAATTATTATCTTAACTTTAGAACTATTTTATCTTTGAGGTAAACCTTTTAAAGCCTTCTGTACTTATTTTTATAGCTAACCTAATACTATCTATTATTACTCCTTAGTTTTGTATATAAAGTATTATAAAAATCTCTTTGTTAAATCTTTTTTTAGTTATTATATTGAAGCAATAAAGTTATAGTTTTTATACTATAATTAGCAATTACTAAAAACTCTAGAATTAATGAATTTCTAAGTTGATAGTAGTTTTCTAATTAATATTTTATAAATTATATTATATCTAAAAATTTATAATAATTTTAACTAATCTTAGTAATACTGTATTATTATAAATTTAATAGATTTTAGAGGTTGATAAATTTTAGATTTTGTTATTATATACTTTATATAGATATAATCATTGCTTAACTTATTACCTTTTAATATATTTAAATATTAAATTGTCTTTATATATTAGCATCCTAAAATATTCTTATTATAATTTGCTAAAACTGCTTTTTAATTTAGTAAAACTAATTTTTTATTACAACTCAACTTGTGTTTACTGCTTCTCTTACTATTTTAGTTTTTGAATATTTTAAGTTTACTTCTAATTCAATTCTGCTTATTTATATTTTAATAAAACTTCTTTGTATAAGCAAGTGTTATTCTTTTAAGCAACTATCTTATAAATTAAAATATTGATACTGTCTTAACTAAAAAATTATAAATGTTGATACTGCTTTTTGTCTTAAAGATTTATATATGCAATTTTTATATAACCAAAACCTTTTATTATACTTCTATTACACAAATTATCTATTCTTCATAATTAAGTCTTTTTTTTTAGAAATTTTCATATCTAAATTTGTACATGCACTTGAACTTGTTTTACAGAGCTTTGCATTTGATTATTTAGCCAATTAAGATTATAAAAACAAATTTAAGTTTTGCCTCTAACCTATATTAAGCTATTATTAACCTTGTCTGTAAAGGCTGAAAGCTTAACTGCTAAGCTACAAGAGTCAGAACCAATCTTTTCTATTATTAATATACTTTATTAATAAAAATTAATATCAATTATTAAAACTTTATTTAAAATTCATAATTAATAACAAAGTTATATAATTTGATGCATATGCATTAATGCATTTTTTGATTAACTAATTAGATTGTAAAATTAAGTATAATTTTATATTATTAAAAATATTCAAAACAAATTTTCATTTTACAAAAATCAAAATTTCTATTGTTATTATTCTAACTTTACCAAATACTAATGCTAATTATATAAAAACTATTATTTTAATTTTACTATTGATGATTATTAATAATTATCACTATGTAATTTACAATAATCAAAATTAAATTTTATTAAAACAAAAATCAATTTTTTTTAATATTTAAAATAAGGTTTAAAAGCTTAAATTAAAATAACCAATAGTTTTACTCAGAATTTATAAAGATTTTTTATTAAAGCCTCAAAGTAGTTTAGTTAATAAAATTTTATTTTATATTATACACTGATGATGGTTACCAGTAGTAATAAATAGCAGATATCAATATATCATATTTTTATTTTTTAGGTTTTCAAAAAAAAATTTAAGTAAATCACAGAAATAGATTTTAGCGTACATATTTATATGTTATACAGTTTAAGAAATACTATATTTGATCCATATTAGGTATCGTGCTTGTAAAGTTTAATTAATGACATTACTCAACCCACGAATTTAAAATTAAAAGACAATTACTAAATTATTTACTATACAAGTCAAGTAACTTAGACTTGCAAGTTATTTACTCTTAATAATTTTTTATTTTTAAAAATTATTATAAATAAATGATCATTGATTATAATAAAATTTTCATGTGTTGTATGAAAAATATATCAATAGAATACAAATACAAAAATTGTGTTGATATAATAATGGTTTGAATTAATAAAAAATAATAATGACACAAATAAATATTGAAAGTCCTATAAAAGAAGAAAAAAGTTTTACGTTTACGCCTAATACCACCTCTAAAATTATATATATATATCCCTTATTTATATATTTAACAAATTTAAAATTAAATGTATTTTATTCTTCTTTTTCTTTGATATTAATTAATTCTAAATCACTTTTAGTTGGACTTTCCAAAATACTTTCTGCATCATTATTTTTAGAATCGTTTTCACTTTCATCATCAAGAACGTAATTTTCATAATTTTCATCATCATTCTCATCATCATTTTCATCGTCATTAATGAATTCTTTACCAACCAAAGTGAATTCAGCATCAATTCCTCTGCTGGAAAAATATCCATTCTTAGCTTTATTTGTCCATTTTTGTTTCATCCTTTCGATTCTAATCAATGTTTTTTTCCTTTTTGAGACAGCATGTTTTCCATACCAAGTCATTAAATATTTTCTAATCTCATATTTACCATCATGATGTTTAAATAAATGTTCAAAGAAACCATATTTTTCTTTTGATATTATGATTTCTTCGGCATTATTATCTTGATCATCATCATCACTTTCTATTTTAGTAAAATTAACACCACATTCTTTTAATGCAGCTATTATACTTTTCGATTCACTAAGTTCATAAATTCTTTTTAAAAGAATTTTTATAATATCAAGTCGATTTAATTGAACCGCATATACTAAAATATTTTGTGGATCAGTTGGTTTAAACATTGGAGTTGTAGGTGATGGATTAAAAAACAAAGATAGTCTATGCATTGAAATAGAACGAGGACGTGATCCTGTTAGAGGAATTTGAGTATTCAACGCTGATGGTCTTAATAATGATACAGGAATATCACGTGCGGTTAATATTCCACGACTTCCCGGAAGTTTAAGTACAGGTATTGGCGGTAATGAAGAGGTAGGAGGTAAAGGAGAAGTAGGTGGACTAGATAATAATGGTGGTATTTTTATAGGGGTGTCAAACTTTAAATTTTTACCTTTTAATCTTTTAGTTAATAAACTTCCACCACCTTGACTAGATGGCAAGACAGGAGATTCATTGCCATCATCATCAGTTTCATCATAAATCGCATCAATTTCTTCACTATAATCTGTATTTAAAATACCACCTCCAATAGTCGTTCCGGGATGACCTCCAACACCAGCACCATCAGATTCATCAACTTCATCATCATTTTCCTCATACAAATCATCATCATCTTTTTCATCATTCTTTTCTGGATGTTTTCCTTTAGCTTCACCTTCAAATTTTAATAATTCATCAGCATAGGATTTTCCAAAAATACCACTTTCTTCACTTGCCATTCTATTTTTCTTTCTTCGTTTTTTTCTATAATCATCACCCCAAGTTCCAAATTCACAACCCCATTCAATTAAAAGTTCAACCAAAATTTTTTGTTGAGATTTAGTCAAATTAGCACTAATATCAACACAAACCCAACCTAAATTTCTTAATCTTCTTCCAGGTATAACAATTTCTTGATTACATTCACCACCACCTTTTAATAAAATTTTTAAAATTTTTAAAACTTTTTTAAATGGACCACCAGCATTTTCAAATCTTGTTGCTAATAATGTATATCCTAATGGAGTTCCACCTCTTATATTTTCTAAATTAGGATTAGAACCTTGTTCAATTAAAAATTCAATTATTGAAGGTGATAAACTTGAATGCCATTTAAATAATAATGATGATAATAATGTATCACCAGTATAATTTTGTGAATTTATATCTAAACCTTGTTCTAATAAATATAATAATACTTTTTTAAAGTAAATTCCTTGTGTATTAGTATAATTAAATGTTGTTTGATTATAAACTGAATAATCATTTGATTTATAAGAAGTGGTTAAAAGTGAATTATTATATGATAAAAAGTTTATACATGTTCCTCCCGTATATGAATCTATACATTTTAAATTAGATCCAATTGTTTTTAAAAAAGTTAATGTAGGTAATAACTTTTTGGCTGGACAATACATTATTGCTTCTAATGGTAACGCTTCTAATGGTCTTCTATAACTAATTACATATTAAAAAAATTTAAATATATATATATATATATAATGTTATTTTGATTGTTAATTGATTTTCCTTTTTTTTAATTAATTATTATTAACTTACCTATTTCTAGGACTACTGATTTCTTGTACTCCATTTAATACCCAATCTCCAGAATGTTCAACATGCCAACTTATACCTTGTAAATCACCGATTCTTGCATGATAAGCAGCATAACATGGTTGTGAATTTATTTTCCATCTATTTTTTAAAAATACCAATTTACAATGATCGCTATATATATCTTGTAAAATTATGTATTAAAAAAAAAACTTGAATAAGTATATATTATTATATTATAATTTTTAAAAAAAGTATAAGTTAAACTTACATGTTTTTGGAGTTGTTGGAACTTCATAACGTGTTGGTCGTCTAAAGGTTGATGGTCCAGGTTCACCAATTTCTAAATTATCAAGATTATCACTTGGTTTATATGAATTATACGAACCTAGAATTTTTTTTTTAAAAAAAAATAATAATATACAAGCAAAATGTAAATAAAAATGATTATTATTTTTATCATAAAAAACATGAATAAACCCGACATTAAACAAAACAAATAAAGATTTTCTATAAAAAAATGTTTTTATTCAAGCAAATAAAATATCTGACAAAAATAAAAACAATAGAAAAGTAAAAATAAAAAAATTCTATAAAGCTAAAGTGTAGATATCTTTTCTTAATTATCTATACATATATATATATATAATTATAATAATTTTTAATAATTGTTTATGTAATATAGTTTATGGTAATTTTTTTTTCATAAAACAAAATTCTCAAATCTTCGTCCAAACCCAACAACTTTTTAATAAACTTACAATAAACTTTTTTATAAAATTTTTAAATAAACTTTTAAATAAACTTTAAATAAACATTCTTTTCATCCCTCCTTCCTAAATTTGGTTACAATTCAAACCGCACTAATTAAAAAAAGGAAATAGATAAATATACAAAAAAAAATCGATATCCACACTTTATAGATTATATATAACTTGCTATATATATATATATATTTATCCTCTCCTCCAAATAATTTAAAGTGTTCGACTTTATATAAAAAAAAAAAGAATATTGCAATAAACTAGTCTCTTTTAAAAACAAAACTTTATCTTACCATGACCCATTAAACCGTTATCAGATTTCTTTCCATCGATTATTGGTTTGATTTGAGAAATTTGTTTGTGTGGATCTATTTTATTAATTTCGTCTTGATTCATTTTTTTAAGACGAAACAAAATGTTTTTTTTTTAAAAGAAAGGAAAGGTTAGAAAATAATTCGAAACTTTAAAAACATTTGATTTCTTTTTTTATTCTTTATTTATGCAATCACATATGATTCCAAAAAACTTGTAAAACAACAATAATGCAAGTAATGCAATAATTGATATAAATGATGTGAAATTACGTCAACATTTGAACGAACTAATTCGAATTTTCCAAATACAGAAATAACTCTACTAAAATTCAAATAAAATTTCGAATAATTCACAATTTCTTTGTACATATCATTATTCATCATAAAAGAACGTTAATAAATGTCATATGACTACTCGAAATATCCAAACAATCGAATAATTTAATAATACACGAGTAACGGGGGTTTTTTTTTGTCGACACTTGCAATTAAATTAAAAATTAAAAAGAAATAGATATTATACCTATATTTACAGAAGTCCATCCAGCTTCAATATCTTCCTCATCCAACCCATCTATAATTTATTTAAAAGAAAATTAAAATTCAATCGATTTTAATTTAAATCCTTTTAAAAAAGAAAAAAAATTTTTAATTTACCTTCATATATATTTAAATTATTAAAGTCTTGTAATCGAGATTTCTATAGAATTCAATAAAATTATTTGATTAAACCTATGTACTAACCAATAACCGAACATAACCGAATATAACCGAACACAAAAGAATAAGATATAATTTACAAAATCTAAAAATATAATACTAGTTAACAGATCATAAAACTTACTCGTCCTCCTGAAAGTCTCTTTACAAGATTTTTAGCTTTGTCTTTCCATTTTTGCCCTTTCATTCGTTGAGCTTCTAGGTCCTTTTTTATATAATTTTTAGATAAAAAGATTTATATAATCAATAATCAAATGATAAAAAACGTCACAATTTTAGAATTGTAGAAATTCAAAATTAGTAATTACCTGACTTTGTCGAATTTGTTGAGATCCTGTTGATATATTTTCTTTTTTTGGTTGTTCTGATTTTTTTTTTTTTTAAAAATTAAAATTTATAAAACAATAACGATAAATAATTATAATCAATAAATAGTCAAACTTGAAACGATAAAGTAATATATATATGAAACATTTACCTTCAATCTGTTGACCAGCCGACTGTTCAACGGATGAATAACCATATTCTAAAGAGCAATAAAAATTAATAATAATTATATTATTATTATTATTATTATTCAAGTTTTAAATTTTAAACGAACTCGTGATAAACAATATATGTAAAGTAATAAAGGAATATTGTTTATCCGGTCTTATGTAAATCATGTCAATCGTAAAGATTTAATCGGTCAATTAATTCTGATGGACATATGTTCATCAACACGTTTTAAATGTTTTTACCAATTGTAAACAATGAAAATAACCCCTATCTGCTATGGGCAGTTGTTTTTTCCATTTAAATCATAAAAATAAGATGATTACGTACCTTGTCCATAATATTCATCCCCTTCTTCAATTAATCCCATTTGTCGTTTTTCTTCAAGTTCTTTTTTTTTTATATTTTAAAATTTGATTAGACAAAAGATGAACGAAATATATATATATATATATATAGATTTTAATAGATAAAATGATTTTAAAGATAAGAACCTTGATTATGTAGCCATAACTCTGCAGCTAAAGCGTCACTTTGTAAATCTACCCAATCTATTATTAGATGTTTTTTCACTCGATTCACACCCAACACACAAAAAAGACCATGTATCTCACACATAATAAAAAAAAAGTTAAATACCGTAATCAGATATTCTAGTCATTCTTTTTGAATTCTGTTCCGTCACTAAAAAAAAAAAAAAAGGATACATATAGATATGTTTATTTATTATAATTATACTTATTTACGTTATATAAATATAAAGTATAGATAGAATAGGTATACAAACTTTTACTTCCATTTCCTTTATAAATCGTAGTCCGATTATTAGGAAATTTTTTTCCATTTTTTTCAAAAAAATCTTTAGTAGAGTCACCATTATTTATTAATTCTTTACACATCATTACCACATTTTCACTTTCAGGTCTTTTTTCGGGATCCATATCCCAACATAAAGTATATAATTTTAAATAATCGATAGGAACATCTTTAGTAGGTAATTCTCTTAAACCTTTTATAATAGCATTAGCTAAATCATGAGCAGGGGGATTTCTACGTTCCGAAAAAGGAGTACGACCACATGATAATTCCCAAAATAAAACACCTAAACTATATATATCAGATTTTTGAGTATGTAAACTATAATAAGAAGCATGAAGTTGAAAAAAATCGGGAATTTGAATTGAAGTAGTAGTAGAAGAAGAAGAAGTCTTAGCAATTGTGGTGGTAGTAGTAGTAGTTTGAGATGAATTAAAGGCTGACAAATAAACAGTTAAAATTTGAGGATCGGTGTATGATATTTTACGAATATTATTAAAAGGGTTAGGTGAAGTTGAGACCACAGTATGAGTTATACCAAAATCGGTTAATTTCAATTTTTGTTGGATGAACATTACGTTTCGAGAGTTCTAAAAATAAGTTTTTTAAAAGAATTAGAAACACTAATAATAATTGATAATAATTTTATAATAATTTAAAAATAATTTGATAATAATTTGATAAATTAATAAGAATAATAAAATTACCAGATTTCCATGAACTATATTATTAGTATGTAAATATCTTAGTCCTTCGGCAATTTCCTTTGCCATTGTTAGTTTGTCGTTCCACGATAATCTTTTAAAATTTTTGGACAAGTAATCATATAACGAACCACCATCCGCGTGTTGTACAACCAAAAGGTATACTGATTGAGGTGATTCTTAAAAATACAAAGCGTTGAAAAAGTCGACAAAGTTGAAAAAAATCGAAAAATTGAAAGTGGAATAAGTATTATTATTTATTATTATAATTATAATTATAATATAGTAAGAATTACTATATTATATCAAATCTCTAGTATAAAAATTTATTTACCTTGGGTTAAACCGGAAATACGAATTATTCGTTCGTTAAAATCAACATTAAGATGCCATTGTAACTATGAAAAACGGAGGTATTAAATTACACATTAAAAATAAAAGTAAAAATTTCAAGATTTATTGATAACAGAAATAAGTATATTACCTCTTTAACAAAAGATTCCCTTAAATTTTCGGACAAATTTACGATATTTTTCAGCTCTTTAATAACAACCACACGTTTATTCATCTTTCTCCATTTTAAACATTTAAAAGAACTGATATCACCATTACTTCCACGTTCAATAATTTTTGGATCTTCGAATTCCTCGAATGGAATAAATTTTACATAACGAAGTTGAACTAATTCATCTAACCATTTTTGATCAAATATTTTATGATCAGAAGAAGTTAAATCTTGTGAATTTGATTGAGATAAACGTAACGATTTAATCGATTTTTTATCAGTAGTTCTAGAGTTTTCACTACTCTTACTACTTGATTTGCTTTTGGTGCTATTCCAACTCGTGTTGTTTGGATTCATTTTTCTAAAATGTATATATTATAATTCTCGATGATTTTTTTTCGAATTTTGATGAAATTTTTCGCGGTGTTTAATTTTTACGTACGGATATTTTTTTTTTTGAATAGAATACGATGGAATATTTTTTTCGATAGAATATTTTTTAGGAAAAAATGTTTTTAAGAAAAATAGAAAAATTTTCAGATAAAAGATTTTGCCGATGAAAGAAAAAAAAAAAATTTAAAGAAATGTTATAAATACGATATGATTAATATAATGAATAAAATGAATATAATGAATATAATGAGAATATAATGAAACGATATAAGAATTGTAAATGCTATTAAAACGAGACCATCTACTGTGACAGTAAATTATATAAATTGATAATGAAATAAATGAAATACGATATAATATATGATAAAGTTGATAAAATTGATAAAGTAGGAATAAAAAGAAAAAATGTTTAATTTTAATTCTAATACAAATATAGGCTTAAGACTAACGCTAACAATAAATTCTCTAAAACTCTAAACTATTATAGACAAAAATACAAAAAATAAATAATATAAATAAAAAATTTTATTTTTTTAGAAAGAAAAGAAAATTTTCAAAATTTTAAGTTTAAAAAAAGAAAAAAAAAAGAAAATTTTTTGTTTATTATAAATAATCAACTGTCAACAGAAGACCCAAAGAAAAAAAAAGAAAAAAAACAAAAAAAAAAAAAGAGCGCGAAAAACAAGTTCGGAAAAAGGAACAATTGTTTAATAAGATAAGCGCATTATATACTCGCTATATGGTGAGAACTGGTTAGTTCGTCATTGTTGTTGTGTCAAGTAAACCAAATAATTTATTTATTTATTTTATTATAAAGTAAGATGTAACCTGTTATTGTACGTATATATGTGGGGTGTTTACCAAAGAATTAAAATTTTAATTTATACAATATGATGTGTAAAAGTTGGTACTACGTACAGTAATAAATTTTGACAAATTGACAAATGCGATACGTACGTACGTGCACCGGGAGATTAACAGGTTTTTTTTATGCCGATGAGACTTTGGCGTTAGTGTGGAGATAATGAAATAATGAAATAATGAAAGATAAAGTGTTTCGGGTTTGAAACCAACCGACTAACCGTTGTTTTATTTTTTGCTTGATACTTCTTGTGCAGCTTTGTTAACAAAGTTATAATTACTTAGTTTGGATGGTCAATTAAAATTTAATGCATTTATACCATAAAGTTAAGATTCAGTTAATTTATATGTAAGTAAAAAGAAAAAAAAAATTTTTTTAACTTTGAATACGAATTAATGCATTAAATTATTCATCATTAAGTATTGATGCATAAGATTAATGTTATACAATAGTAATACTAAATCCTACAAACAGTTAATTTTTAACTTAACAAAATATTACGGGGAATTGAGCATAAAATAGTTAAAGTGAGTATAAGTTTAATTTGATGCATAAGAGGGTTTGATGACCGTTTGGATTAATTAAGTAATTAGTGTTCAGCCGCCATTTGTACGTAGATTATCAAATTTTCTAGATTGTTTATATAGGTAGTACAAACAGAACAAAGTTTGAATCCTTAACTAAGTTACAAATGGTGTGACTGGCGTTAAATTACGTACGTATGTATGTGATGTTGGTACGTATGTGGGTATGTACATACGTATTACGCGCATACATTAGCGCATTAAAAAATGATCCCTTACCATCCGGATTAGATATTGTCGATAGTATGAAGATTATTACTAAAGAATTTGAAATTCAATGAAACTTTATGTCGTAGGTAAGTATTATATGAATAATAATGTCTGATTGGTGATGAAAATCGATACTTTCAAGTAATTTGTAACACATAACAAAACGACAAATTATTCTAAAATGAGAAAAAAAAAGATTACACATAACACCTTTTTTCCTTAATAAAAATAAATGTTCTATTATTGTTATCAAATTTCTTAGTTCGTAATTAATATCACCCCATTTCTTTTTGTCAGGGCACTTTCTTCTTTTTTTTTCATTGTACTTGAAGTGTTCGAACAATGGGCTTTATGACGATCTGACACTTAAATAATGTAATCCTAAACAAGCTCCTAAAAAAGTTCCTAAAAAAAGCTCCTAAACAAAGTCCTAAATATGGTCCTAAACAAGGACGCTCTAGAACAATGAATAAATTAATAGACAATACGTATACAATAATTTAGAACATATGCCCGTTTATTAATAAAATGATATAAATAGAAAACTTGATAATAACAATGTTACGTATTTATCTTACTATCTTTTATGCTTGTTATCTGTTATGAATCAGCCTGTACGTACGTACCTACTTACCTATGTACGTACGTACGTACGTACCTATGTACCTATTGCTATGTACGTACGTACGTACGTACACATTTTCTACGTATTTATTCTCTCATTATGATTATTTTACTATTTATGTACATATTCTCTTTGTGTACAAACAAACCTATAATTCTTATTTTAGCCACTACTAGTATCGTTTTCTTTAGTGAAAAAGTACTGCCCCCTTTAACCCTTTATTCTTATTGACTAATTTGGTGAAAAACAATAAAAGGTTAAGTTTATATGCAATAAAAATAAATAAATGAAGTTACTAGTCTCTGTATGATAAATTAATAAAATAATCATCTTTGGTTAATGTAATATTGGTTAATGTAATATTGGTTAATGTAATATTGGTTAATGTAATATTGGCAAAGATATTTTTAGATTAAGAATTCACACGACAAATACATAATACGTATGTATAAAAGATAATATGTATCATTTATGATCAAATCAAAAAGTACTTACGTATACATATTATTAAACAAAGAATTTCAATCACCCGATACTAATATACAAATTAATCCGGATCATGTTTCACACAAAGTCTGGTATCCGGATATCCGGATATGCTCTAAATTTAGTTATTGACTTTATCTTCAAAATCTTGTGATTGAATACCATTGCATTGTATACTTATACGTTTTGGATATAATGTTCCTCAAGATCGTCAGTACTGACCTGATAAAGAATTATTGGTGTTTAATTCGTTACATATCGGTATGCACCGTTAAAATGAGTTTCTAAAAAAAGTAAAGGCGTTATTAGGCATAAATTTCTTATCGTTATCAATGAATTGCCTCTCCAATCAGGAACTGCAATAATAATTATCCAATAATGAACAATCAGTTTTTAAAAGAATAAAAAGAATAGAAACATGTGATTGTACACTTGCGTAAGCATTGTTTAAATACTTACGTTCGTACGTACGTACGTACGTACATACTCAAATCTTCATTATTACTCTTTAATTAATTATCCTTAATATAAATGCATATATAAAATCTCATCTTAATACGTACATACGTACTTAACGTTAAGCTTGAATGATATATGATTGATTTATATCGATATATGAATACAATAAATACAAGTAATATAAGGAGTAAGCTTTGAATGATCCATGTAAATATTTGTACGTCTTTACCTAATATGGTTGTTTTGTTCCATTATTGAAATTAGTGAATCATTTTCAAGCTTGTCACACATTTCATCATAATGCACTTATAGATCCATTTGTCTTCAGTTTTCACGCTTTATTTTGTCTAATGCAATTGAATCTTTCTCATTTACGTTCGTTGGAAAAAGTATCTCCATGTGGTTGAGGATGATTCATTGTATAATAACTCATGCCTTGTGAACTTTGTGAACTTTGTAATGATAACTGCATTAACATAATTAATTACATACGTACGTACGTATGTACGTACTGATACGTACATACCTGATACGTACGTATGTACGTACGTCTAATTGATGTATTATGTTGAACAAAAATATTATAATAATTTCATGTGAATAAATGTTAGTGCACATATGATCGCATCGTGTCTACAATTTTAATTGCATTTAACAAACAGTTCACATGATTAATTTCGTACCACATTTTTAACATTATAACATTAATAAAACAAAATTATCTATTTACATGTTAATTTTATTTCAATTTTATATTAATTTTAGATTACTTTTATATTAATTTTAGAATTAACAATAGAGACAACTATGACCAAAAGTTACAGCAGAAACCCAAATATTGCTTTATTTAATGTGATTAGGTAAAACAATGATTAAGTCGGCAAGCAATTGTAAATAATCGCAACAGCTAAAGCTAGAAACAGGTATAACTAAAAACCGATAAAGCCGACAATTCAACTTATTTTAATAAAATTTTTAAATTTTTTTGAGGTGTATTCTTTGTAATTAAATAAAGTCCCCCGATTCCTGCTTCAGCCGTTTCCAGTTTTAGTCGCGACAATAATTGTTTTTAATTAAAAAAAAGTTGGGGAAATTGATATATATATGTATAAATATATATATCGGATCCTACCACGCTTTCTGTGAATCAAAATTCACGTGTAAATGCATCTCTCTCGTGTCTCAAATATCATATGAAGTCGCCATTTATGTATGTTCTGTTCATGAAATTTTTTCCATAACTTTAATACAATCATAAAATATTATACCTGAGATCGAAACCTTACATGCAGGTGAATATTTGATGCGCATACTTATTACGTTATAGCATTACATTGTAGCATTACATTATAACATTACATTATAGCATTACATTGTAGCATGGGCATGATAGAGCCTGACACGGGTGTGGGATTTAGTAACTAAAATACCAGTAATGGGCATACCTTTAGTGTCATGCACTATGGCATGCCAAAGGCATTCTGGTACAGATTTTGACAGAAGACATGCCACATGGCATGCTGAATTTCTTTAATGTGTCAGGCACCCTGTGTGAAACCTAGTGTGGATGTATCAAATCATATGCTAACTTAAAAATAAATAATAATCATAATGATAGAATATTGACTTATTATTACCTATTATGAATTGGGTACGTATAAACTTTACTACGAATTACTGTACATTATGACTACCTTGATCACCTAAAGTTATCACATAAAGTTATCATATAAAGTTA